GGTGCCCATTCGACTCAGTGTTCATTCTGCCAAATATGTTGGGGGTTTGTGTCATTCAGATGTCAGACCATGCTTTCTTTCGGTCACAGTTTGCTGTGCTGTGCCTACTGTACCCCAGCCCCGGAGCCCTGGTGATGCAGTGGGGACCTCATTGGGCTGCGAACCACAGGGCAGCCTCGTTTGAACCCACCCGCCTCTCCACAGGAGGAAGATGAGCCTTTCTACTCCCCCCAGGAGTTTCCGTCTCGGAAAGCCACAGCACTGGTTCTGCCCTGGCCTTTGGGTCGCCGTGCTTCGGAATCGGCTTGGAGGCAGTGAGCTTGGCTTTGGCTTTGGCTAGACCGGGCATTGAGCTAGAAAGCAGGGACCCACCAGCGAACAGGACAGCATGTCTTCAATCTAGTGGGAGACACACTAGACCAGTCACCAGGCAGCTTCCACACAGCAGAGGTTCTCGGGGGACCCAGCACTGCTGCCATCTGGCTGGATGGTTCCTTGTTGGGGGTGGGGTTGGGGGTGGAGACTGGCCTGGGCCCTGCAGGGTGATTAGCCACATCCCAGGCCTCTACCCACTAGATGCCCCCATGACAACCACCCAAACTCTGCTTGGATATGCTGCCAACTGTCTCTTGGAGACACAGTGGCCCTGGTTGAGCAGCACTGCCCGGGAGTACGGTAGAAATGTGGATGCTGAGATCTAAAATCCAAGTAGGGTCTGGCCAGGGGGACAGAGCAGGCAGAGTGATGAGAAAGGGCATCCCGGGAAGAGGGGAGAGACCAGGTGTCGAAAGGCTGGAGCCTGCTCCGGAAGCGGAGATAGATGATGGGGCCTGACGGGCAAAAGAATGCAAGGCAGAAGGTGAGCAAGGCTGAGCAAGGCTGAGCACGGCATATTGGGAACCAAGCACACGCGCAAGGCAGGTCTGCAGGTCCCGTGGGGAAGCTGGGCTTTATACTGAGTTGAAGAGGATGCCCGGTTCCTGGTGTGGGCGCTGTGCCACTCCATGAGCTAGGGAAGGGCAGGGCTGCAGGGACAATGATGAATGACTTGCTGGCAGTGTGGGCTGCGCCTTCCTGAGGGGCAGCTGTGTGGACATTCCCAGGAGTTTATCTGGAAACTAGGTCTTCACCTTGGTGCTCTGGGTTTCCCCTGAAGGTCCTATTGGGGAAGGCAGACAGAGGCTGGTGCTTTGTCTGAGCCGACGTCTCCCCAGGGAGTTTACAACCCTTCACAAGATATGGAAACTCCAAGCTAAGACTTCAAGGTTGGGTTTTTTTTTGTTTCTGTTTTTTCTCCAACAAGAGTGCTTTGAGAACAAAGGCCACCATCAGCGCAGCCACTCGCTAATACTATGGATTACCTTCATTCCTTCATCAGTGGGGAAACACCAAACGCACCAATTTGGACTTATTTGCACCTTCCTTATTATGGTGATTATTTAATGACATGATTCTACGTCAGCTCTTTTATTTATTATGTATTTTGAGCAGACAGTCTATTGGTGGCCGTGGTGAGACAAGGGGTATGACAGCTCCTGCTTCGAATCTAAGGGGCAGGCTCAGAAAGCCGGATCTTTTCGAGCTGTTGGGTTATTATTCCTATTTTCCCCCCACCACCTATTATTACTATTGTGAAGGGTAAAAGATTCTTAAAAAATCCCCACCTGGGTCTGGCTGCAGCTGCAGGCCTTTGTATGCTACGTGAATTATATGCCAATGAAACTTAAAGAAAGAAGCGACTGGAGCCTGGGTCCTGGGACGGCGGATAAGCTCTTCACTGCCACTGGGTGGCAGCATAGTTTGATGAGATTCACATCCAAACCAAACCAGTCACTGCCACAGACAGCGTGGATTCTGATTCGTAGTGACCCTATAGCACAGAGCAGACTCCCCAGGTGGGCTTCTGAGGCTGTCGGTCTGCTGTGGAGCAGAAAGCTTGATCTTTTCCCCTGGAAAGGGCTGGTAGGTTCTCACGGCTGACCCTGTGGCTAACTGCCTAATGGGTGACCCACCCTACCTCCAGGACTCCTTCCCATGTCTCCCCTAAACCAAACTCACTGCCAAAGAGTTGATTCTGACTCAGAGCGACCCTATAGGATGGGGTAGAGCTGCCCCTATGGGTTTCCGAGATGGTAACTCTTGCAGGGAGTAGAAAGTCTTATCTTTCTCCCTCAGAGCCTCTGGTGGTTTCAGACTGCTGACTTAGAGGTTAACAACCTCACACGTAACCACTGCACTGCCTGGCCTGGGCTCCCTCCCATGTCTCTAGCACCCACACACCCACACACCCACACACAAACACACTGCCATCGAGTGGTTTGCAACTCAGAGCCTCTCTGTAGGACAGAGTGGAACTGCCCCTTTGGGTTCCCAAGACTGCAAGTCTTTAAGGGCGCGGACAGCCTCATCTTTCTCCCACAGTGACCAGTGTGCTCAAACCGCTGGCCTTGTAGCTAGCAGCTCAATGTGTAGCCCACAAAGCCACCAGGGCTCCTAGACACACCTGATAGTTGTCGGTGGCGTCACCCAGAAGGCCACCAAAGGTGATGGCGTTGGTGATACAGCCGAGGTAGATGAAGAGGATGGCAGAGATGGACTGAATGTGGAAGCCGTCGTAGAAGTCGCTTGGGAACCAGGGCAGCTTCCGCTTGATATCCAGACACAGGCCGCCGAAGAACCTGCTGGAGCCAGGGGCAGCTTTCTCACCACTGACAGCAGTGCCGCGATCGAGCCAGTAGAGGGGGCTGAGGAAAGGGGCTGGGCCAGGGAGGGCTGGGGACAAGGCTCTTCCCTCCAGAACATTTCGGGCAGGACTGAGAGTTTGTGGTCAGCACCATCCACTCCGGGCTACGGACTGGACAGGAGAGGGAAGGGTCGTGGGAGTGCCTCTGGGGCAGAAGGAGCCCCGCACGGGGATCAGAACTCTAGGTGTCCAAGACGGCGGGCGCGCCTTGTGTTCCCCGTCATCCCCAGTGAAAGTGGGTCTGGTGAACACAATTTTAGGTGAGAGACACCCCAGATGAGGGCACTGATGCTTAAGGGCAGAGGTTGAACCTTACAGATGGTGTCTCTGCTTTCTGGAACAAGTAAAGACTTTTCGCTTTGGGGGCAAATCTATTGCAGCTGCTACTACCCATATGACTAGTGCAGCCCTGAGCACAGAGCCTGGCCTCCGATGACACTTTGAACGAGATCAGCCTTCGTTGTCGGAGGCGGCCCGTGTGTGGTAGTGGCCCAGTAGCTGCCCTGGCTGCTGTCCACCTCTCCCCGGGCTGTGACAAACAAGGATGTCTCCTGGCATTGCCCAGTGTCCCTGAGGGTGGAAGTTCAAATCGCTCTTTCTTTGAGAATGAAGGGCATAGAGCCAAACCAGCCACCCAACACTGCCACATCAAGCTCATGCCACTGGGTCGATTTCCACCCATAGCGACTGGGTGGAACTGTCTGTGGGTTTCCCAGATGGCAACTCTTTACGGGAGTAGAAAGCCTTGTCTTTCTTCTTCAGAGCTGCTGGTGGTTTCAAACTGCTGACCTTGTAACCGACACCTAGTAGCCACAACCGCCACTGGGACCCTTTCCTAGACATTCAAGGGTATCTAAAGGGCAGCACCGGTCTGAAAACAGCAATTTACATTCAGCTTGGCAGGCCACCCCCACACCCCACCCTCATCCACAAACTGGCAGACACCCAAGACAGAGAACTTTCCTTGAAGAAAAGGTTGCTGAATAGGTAGCAGCATCAAGTGGGCAAAGGAAATAGGATGTTGCCAGCAAGTAGCTAAAGCAGCGGTTCTCAACCTGTGGGTCGCGACCCCTTTGGGCATCGAATGACCCTTTCACAGGGGTTGCCCGATTCATTACAGTAGCAAAATGACAGTGATGAAGTAGCAACGAAAGTAATTGTATGGTTGGGGGGAGGGGGCGGTCACCACACATGAGGAACTGTATGAAAGGGTCCCGGCATGAGGAAGGTGGAGAACCCCTGCTCTACAGAGTTCGGCTTCCTCCTGTCCTGTCCTGTCCTGCCCTGTGTCTGCCCCACTTTCTGAGCAGCGGATTCAGGTGGAGCGGTGAGGACCTGCCTGGGAGGGACCCTCCAGGCGCTGGGGGCTAGGGGGTGGGGAGAGACTTGGGAGCACAGTGGGGGGCATTGTCCGGGTGGGCACCTTCCCGTCCAGAGAAGCTCTTCCCCAATTTCATGCACGGCTGGCATCTCGTCTTCATCCGCGGCCCCTCCACCGGGCCCTCCAGCTCCTCCGCCGCCTCCGCCACCTGCAGGGGGGCCTCCGCCACCGCCGCCGCTGCCTCCCACAGAGCCGTTCATGTGGCCCGGCTCGGCACCGGCACCGGAGAACACGGACTTCCTGCAGGGAGAAGGAGCCTCTGGGTCGGGCCATCCCCAGAACCCCTTACCTGCCCAGGTGTTTAAGGAAAAAGATGCAGAGTTATCTAAAGACCGCCCCCCTCCCCTGGCAGCCCACCCCAATGAGACAGGGGTTCACATTTTAGAATATTTCCGCATAAATGAAATGATCCAGAGCCCCCTCCCCCGGTTGAAGCTCCCTTTGCACACCCCCACAATCCCGCCCCCACCCCACCCCCAGCCGCACAGGAACGCACCTCTTGTCAGCAGAGGGCACCTTCTTGGGGGGCTCGATTCGGATATTTGGGTCCCATTCTCCAGGGGGCAGGACGATGACCTCGTCCAGAAACTCGTCAATGCCGGCAATCAGATCGTCCCTATTGCGGGCTTTATAGGCCACCTGGCTGAAGAGCTGGGCGGGAAAGGGAGGGGAGGAGGCGTCCATCTTACTCCGCCCCCCCCACCCCCCCACAGTGCGCCAGTGTTTCAGAGACCACCATCTCTCTGCCTGCTCGCTCTCCGGTGCAGAGGGCAGGACCAGGGGAGGTCGGGGGAACTGGGGGCGTCCGGCATGGGGCGGAGGTCCCCAAAGAGTGTCCCTGTCTAAACACCTGACACCCGTTCTGCAGGTAACTCTACCATCCCACCAAGGAGCCTTAGTGGCCAGTGGGTTACATTAGATCGGAGGTTATCCGTGGTTCCAACGCCCAACGCACCAGCTTACAGGAGACAGGAGGCTTTCTGCTTCAGAAACCCACAGGGGCAGTTCTATTCCATAGGGTGGCTCACTGCCAGTCAGAATCGACTCCATAGCAGTGGGTGTGGTTTGAGGGGGTTGGGCCTCAATATCAGCTCAAAAATATAATTCAGGCTCACTGATCTTACGACGGCATTGCACGGAAATTATAACCACATCTTGCTTTCGCCGGTGGAAATCGTCTATGACACACTCCCGGTCGTTTATTTTTTCCTCTAGTTTTTTTTCTCTCTTCCTGTATTTAGCAAAGCAAAATCACACAGGCTGTCTTGACTCCTGTTATTGTGGTTGGTGCCATCGAGTCTGTTCCAACCCACAGAGACCCTCTCTGCCTAACAGAAGGAAACACTGCCCGGTCTTGTGCCATCCTCACAATTGTTCCTGTGCCCATTGCTGCAGCCACGGTGTCCATCCATCTCCTTGAGGGCCTGTCGTCCTCTCTTTCTATGCCCCTCTACTTTACCAAGCATGATGTCCTTCTCCATGCAGTGGTCTCTCCTGATAACATGCCCAACGTCTATAAGGCGAACTCTTGCCATCCTTGCTTCTCAGGAGAACCCTGGCCGTACATCTTCCAAGACAGATTTACGTATCTTTTTAGCAGTCCATGGTACTTTCAGTGTTCTTATCCAGCGCCACAATTCAAATGCATTGACTCGTTGGTTTTCCTTATTCATGGCTCAGAGAGGTTCTCAAATATGAAAGCATTCAAGTTAAATTGTTGAATGATCCCTAACAGCTGGCACTGGAAACTTCAGGGGTGAATAGAAACCTCTCAGTGGTGCCCACCTTCCAGTGGCGCCCAGGACACGTCATACTGCCTACTTACCTTAGGTACACCTCTGCCTCCTGGGTCTGAAGGCCAGGTTTCCAAATTCTAGCTGTACGGTCACTTAATCTTTTCAGTTTCTTTTCCCCTAGAACACAATTCACTGCCCCTGAGCAGTTTCGAACTCATTGTTAGTGGACCCTGTTGGTAGGGCATGGCAGACCTTTGGAGAGAGCCTCATCCTTCTCCCGTGGAGTGGTTGGTGGGTTTGAACTGCTAACCTTGCAGTTATCAGCCCAACCTGTAACAGACCCATGATGCCACCAGGGCTCCTCCTCAGAGCAGGCAAAGTTGGGAAACCTTTTCAAAGTTCAAGAAGCACAGGTATTTCAAGTCTACCCAATTACTTCCTAGCCTTTCATCGGCGTCTCTGGGCAGTGTCAATAGTTAACAAATGCTGCTGCTTTCCGCGAGTGTGGAGGTCTGAATTCACCCAGAGGCACCGCAGGGGAAAGGCCTGGGGATCGATCCCTGGAAAACCAGCCCCCATGGAGCTCAGGTCTACCTGTGGATTTAACCCTTCCTCGTGGGAAGACCAGCCTGTCCCTTCCACACGGTTGCTTTGGAATCACAGGTCTGCTCAGGTCGGGCTCAGGTGTAAAGTGTTTCAGGCTCTCCATCACACCTTGTCCCCAGAGTGTGACCACTCAGCTCTGCCCTCAGGCTCTGTTGACACAGGCTCCCCTCTCTGGTGTCACTTACTGCCCCCAAACTCCATGAGCCACTTCCACCCAGTGTCCCCATCTCAGGGCCTGGGGCCCACCTCCAAGGTCCTAGGTGGGTCTGCCTAATTCCTGCTCACCTGTGACTGCTCGGGCAGAGTGAGCCCCCAGGCAATTTTATCCCGAGAGCTCATTGTCGCTCACTTGATTGGCGTCCCAGAGAGCAGACCACTGCCTGGTCTTCAGCCCTCTGCACAGGGCTGGACACACAGTGGATGCTCACAACAGGCCTGCCGTGTGCATACACGTGCGGAGGTGAGCACACTGCTCGGTACAGGGGCACACACCCCAGAGCTCGTGTTTCCCGTCACCACTTACGTCATCTACCATGAGGGTAGCAATGGCGCGGCCAATTTCATTGTAGGACTTTGCTCGGCCAGAGGGTCCCAGCAGGATGAACAGAAATCTGCATGAAACAGATGGGAGTGGGGGAGGAGGGAGATCAGCAGAAGGGGCTGAGGGGAGGAGACAGCAGGTGCACAGAAGGATTTTCGGGCCCTGAACAGCATCCACCCTGAACTGTGTCTCTCTCGGGTGCTGTGTTTGTCTAGGAAAAGACACCTCCTTTCTCACCGTCAGCGTGTGTCGCGCTGCCCGGCCCGCGGTTGACACCCTTCTCTGCATGCTTATTATGATTTTCTAAATACATGGAGGTCAAGAGAGAGGTCTAAGAGAACACCGAAGAATCCAACTCGCCGTACATGTGCCAGTTGGTGGCGCTGGTGACGTTTATCACGATGCACAATCATGGCCTCTTTGGGGATGGTTTTTGATGACGTTTCTAAAACTCCTTTCTGGTCCCACCCGGGCAAATCCTCCCGTTTTCCTTCTCTGTGTATGTGTTTTTCTTGAGGGGGTGAGGATGGGAGGGGTGGGAGGGGAGTAAACAAAGTTGTATTTGGCGTGTGCATCCAAGAGAAGAGAGGAGCTGGAAACAGACACACCTTCAGGGTTATGTCCGACTGGGTCCCTGCTCGCTGACGGCCCTGACTGTGGGCTGCACTGGGGGGGCACGGGGGCTCACCTGGTGGGCACGGGCACCTCGGTCACGCCCCCCAGCATGGCAGACTGGACAAGGCGCACGAAGGCGATGAAGGGCCGCTCCAGGAAGTCCACCTCGCCCACCAGCACGTTGGATGCTTCGGAGTCCTTGGGGATCTTCTTCATGAACTTGTTTTTCCGCTGCCCACGAAGGAGGGGACAGGAGAGTCGTGGACAGCCCACGCCAGGGGTCTCCCCTCTCACTCTCACTCCCTCCAGAGGCCGAGAAGACCCTCCCAAGGAGTCTCCAGAGCAGCGGCGGCATTGGGGCCAGGGCGTGACTTCTGGAATGCTACTGCCATTGCCCCCCACACACCAGACCTCCTCCCATATCAGACGCTACAGAATCTTAGGAATATCGACGATCGGTTTAAACCAGAGGATAAGACGGGATAAATATCCTAGTGAATGGCTTAAATGTAATGCTTTCAGATTCTATGAATACACTCATAGCGACCCTACAGGACAAGATCGAGCTGCCTCCGTGGTTCTCGCAGTCCTAGACTGCGAATCTCCATGGGAGTAGAAAGTCTCATCTTTCTTCTGAGGAGTAGGTGGTGGTTTCGAACTGGTGACCTGGTGGTTTGCAGCCCAGCAGGTAGCCATGACCCCACCAGCGCTCCTTAGGTTATATGAATAGAAACAGCCAAATGGTTTTGTAAGGTCTTTCTACATCGAATGGCACGGTTGGGTATAACGTGACTGAAGGGTAGGTGAGAAGTCCATTTCTTTTCATTGCCACTTCATTCTCACAAACACCGATGCCCTCGCCCGCCGTGGCAGCTAAAGCACCAGAAAACTCGTGGGCAAGCTCAGTGACTGTGACCACGACAGCGCCAGCTTGCGGCAGGCAGACAAAAGCACGTGTTTGGAGGCATCCCTGGAAGTGGCTTTCAGGATGTCCCTAATGGACGGGGGAAGGTTCATAAGTAAGTCAGCGTATTGTAGCCTCGTAGTAGCTATTTTGATACATATAATCTGGGCTGGAGAAAAAAAATGTTTTTGGTGTTATAACTAACTACAGGTACATTTCTAATTAAAATATGCATCTGAATAAAAAGTATATTTCTGAAAAAAACAATAAAACACACCCAACATTTCTCTAGTCAGCCATTCCGACGGCATTCCCTCTGTCCCTCTGTCCCCTCCATCCCCCCAGTGAGGCCACTGCTCAAGAGAAGGGAAAAGCCAGCGCTCTCTCCCATTCTGCGGTGCGGAGATTCACCCCAAGGCTGAGGAAGCCTTTGCAGATGGCTGACATAGAGAAGGGATTGGCAAAGCTTTGGCCCCAAGAGATTCCTCCTTGAGCAAACACCTGGCTCACCTGCAGTGCGAGTGGAGGAGGAGTGGGGGACTGGGTGCAGGGAACCCTGAGAGCTGTCTCAGCATTGTGCCTCAGGCCTCACCCCCTCAGCCACCAAGACCCCCTCTCTGGTCCTCCACTGTGGGGACTGTGGGGAGAAGGCAGGTGAGGTGAAACCCCAGGGCCCTACCCAGTGTCCACGGGAGCCTTTCATGCTCACATGCCACCCCCAGGGGACCTCTCGGGGCAATACTCACAACTTCTCAGACTTTCCAGGGGAGCCTACCAAGATGGTGGCCCTCCTGTCCCCCGGACAGGTGTTTGCTCCGGGCAGGAAGACGAAACAAGGCTGAACGAGTGGGGTCTGATGTGAGAGGCATCGGAGCAAGCCCTCTGCGCCGTCTAGCTCCGTTCTCTGCCCTATGACCCATTCTTAGGGTTAAGATGCTGGTTCCTCCTGGGTGCTCTTTTTCTAAAGTTCAATTTAGCCCTTAGCATTGCAGAGGAACTCCAGTGTGGCGGCTTTCCCTCGGGGAAAGGGAGAGTGGTCCTTGGGGGAGGAGGGAGAAGAGGCGTCTGTGGGGCCTTGGAGTGCCAAAGACAGGTCCTGCCCATGCTGCCATCTCCCTGCCAATCAGTCTCCCCTGTGGGTACAGCAGCCTCTGTCCGTCATAAGCCCTGGCAAGAACCAGGCTCCTGCATCCCCTCCTGTCCTGGGCAAGGGGCTGTTGGGGTCTTGCACAGGGCCATTAGGCCCAGCCCCTCTGGGCCACAGCCACTTCCTGATTAGGGCATGATAGGCCTGCGAGCAGAGTCTGCCCCTTTGGAACCTTCGAGGTCAGCGATTCTCAACCTGTGGGTCGCGACCTCTTTGGGGGTCGAACGACCTTTTCACAGGGGTCACCTGATTCATAACAGTAGCAAAATGACAGTGATGAAGTAGCTACGAAAATAATTTTATGGTTGGGGGGGTCACTACCACATGAGGAATTGTATGAAAGGGTTGCGGCACTAGGAAGGTTGAGAACCATTGTCCTAGATCAAATCAGAAACACAAACAAACATTCTCCACACCCGGCAGACCTATGGGCACAGCACAGCCCCAAGGGTCAGAATCAGCAGGGGAAAGGTTCCCAGGAAGGCCACAGGGCCCAAGAGTTCCACTGCCCCAGGCCTGGCCAGCTGAGCTGTCAGCAGCATTCTTCAGGGTGGGGGAGCTTGTCGAGGCAGGCAGTCCTGCTCCCTGGGCCAGTGCCAAGGGCCTGGGCCTTAGGCAGAGGAGGGGGGTCCAGGGAAGATGAGGTGAGGTGGACATGAGCCAAGGAGAGCCCTGCTTGGAACACAGCAAAACGCCAGGGGCCGGGAGAGAAGAGGAGTTGAAACGGATCCTTCCTCTTTCCTCAGAGTTTGACGTGCTGGGTGTGGTGGTCAACCTGGTGGCATTGCAGAAATGGGGACATGCTGGCCGTCTGGCCTCCTGGCTAGACCATCCTCGGAAACCAGGGGACAGAGGTGCCATCTGAATCCACAAGGCGCTCCCTGGGAGCCCGCAGCCAAGAGAGGGCCGCTCTGGGGAAATCATGGATGAAGCCCGCCTGCAGAACCACCACCTCTGGGCGTGTCCTAAAGGGCGGGGCAAATGGAAGGCAGGCAACATCGGGCATCACTGAGGAACCAGGCACTTTACCCAGGAAACACTGTCCAGTACAAATGGTTGCTCATGTTGCCAGGGACGGCTATTGATGTAGGCACTGCTTCCTCCTGGTGGCTCCCGTCTGTGGGTGACCACAATCAAGTGGCATCTCTTTTCTACAGAATATTCCAGAACGCAGCTCAGCTGCTGTCTCACTGGTTGCAGCGCCTGGGGGCGCCCCCAGAGGATCAGAGCGGACCCGACCTTCACGGGGCGCGCCAGGCCACGACCCTACGTGGGCAGAGCGCCCCATCTCTCCTGCCGACCCCAAGACCTGCGCCCAAAGGCAGGGCTGTCGGGTCCAGCGGGCGGGGCCCGCCTCGTGGCTCCACCCTTTTGGGGTGCATGTCCTGCCTGGAGCCTCAGTGGTCCCACAGGACCTCGGGCACCGCGGTGGCCCCTTCATGGCCGGAGCACTATCCACCCGGGTACGTAGGGGCTGCTGGTGTGCAGCCTTCTACCAAACTAGGAGCCGCTGGCCTTTGGCTCCCCTGCTCCCCGCACCCTGAGGCAGAGAAAGGGAGCCAGCCAGCCCCCTCCGCTGCTCTGGAGGAAGCCCGCGCTGCTTACAGCGGTCTAGACTTCCCAGGGGCCTGGGCCAGGGGCTCTGGAGCCTCGGCCTTAGAACTCAGGCTCTCCCGATTTGTGGGCTTCTGATTTCACTTCGGGGGATTCAGCCAGCTTGGGGGTGGAGGGGACAAGACGACGCTTGTCGTCTGTCCCACGCGGGGAGGGCAGCAGCGGAGAAAGGAAGACCCTTGATGAGACGGGTGGGTACCCCGCCGCCTGGCAGGGCTGGTTGAACGGCGTCCTGCTGCTCGGAGGGAGGGTCACTACCAGGGGGAACTGGCTCATGGGCCCCGAGAACAGCCACGCCCAGAGAAGAAAACACTGCTCAGCCAGTTGTCACTGCCAGCCCACGAGCCTGCCTGTCGTTGCAGGTGCTCCGGGGTCACGGAGAGCAAAGCTAAGTCAGCACCCAGCACACCTGGGGAGCTCAGTGACAGCAGGCCCCTCCTCTGACCAGGCTTCTCTGTTCCTGGCCCCGACCACACCCCCGACCAGAGCCCAGCAGAGCTGTCCTGAGACGCCTGCTCCTTCCTTCAGCAGTAGGGGATCCCTACTTTTGAAACCAAGGGCTGTGCCCTCCCCCCTCCCCTCCCAGGCCTCCCAGGTGCTGCCCAGGCAGGCCTTGATTACTTGGTCTGTGTTCGCTGTGCGAGAAATGTCATTCATGCTTCTGCTCTGCGCGTGGCCTGTGAGAGGGGAGAGAAGGGCTTTCAGGGGAGGAAGTCTTTTCTCCGGGCCCCTACCTAGGCCTCCCCACCTGCACATCCCCTCGGCCCTGCAGCCCTACCACTCCCCAAGCCCCCACCATCTTCTCCTTTCAATGTTGGCTTGCTGGACAGACTGGCCGGAGCAGAGGTTCCCTTCCTGCACCCCCCCTCCCCCCTCCCCTTAGTCTGCTGCCCTCTGGCCTGGCATCTCCTGGCTGAGCCTGCCCTGGAGGGGGCTGGGGCCGGGCTACCGCAGTGAGGGCTGCTTGCTGGCCCTGGGGTGCCACCTCAGGCACTAGGAATGACTCTGGTGACGTCTCCCCAGAGCCAGGATTTGTCACCAGGATCCCTCCTAGTCCCTTTGGTCTCCTGCTTGCATTAACCAGGGCCAGGGAAGACCACGTGACCCAAGCCCTGAGACCCAGAGAGAGAAGGCTGGGTTGGTGCCAGCAACCAGGGCCTCCACCTCTATTTGGCGGGCCCTTGGCAGCTCTCCATCTTATCTTGGCATTTTAGTTAAAGTGCTCAGAGGGAGACACTATTATGGAAGAAAAACGTGCTTAGACAGAGACACCGCGTTCCCTTTTCCTCCTCATTTCCAAAGCCCCACGTTTCTCTTTGACGCCCCCTGCGTCCCACACGGCCCAGAAAGTCCGGTCGGCCTCCTTCAGTCTTCTAAGGTCCCCTTGGCCCTTTCCCAGCATACAGTGGGGAGAGGATGATACATCAGAAACCCCAACTCACCACCATGAGATCAGTTCAGGACATGGTAGAACGACCCTTGTGCGTTTCTGAGACTCTTGCCTTTTTAATGGGAGGAGAAAGCCCTGCCTTTCTCCCACATACATGAGTGGCTAGTGGTTTTGAACTCTGGCCTTGCAGTTAGCAGCCCCATGCCTTACCACTAAGCCATCAGGGCTCCAGCCTGATGGTGGTGGAGACTGTTGTCTCCCCTGGGGGGGTGTGTGTGTGTCTTTAGCTGTCTCCTGGGGGACAGACAGGTCAGTCTGGTTTTTAATTCTGTTTCTAGGGGGGCTTTTTACCCAAAAACAGGGGAACAGGTCAGTTCAGTGAAAACAAAGGCACAAAAGTAAGAAAAAAATGCCCAGCATGCAGGGTCTCACCGTAGGGTAGTAAACTGGGCCCCGAGGGCAGGGAATTGGGTTTGTGTGAAAGTTGGATCCCTCCCTCCTGGGCACATCCTGAGAGGTGCTATAGACAGATCCCGGGCCTTATCTGCTTGGCTGCATCTATGACCCTGTGTGCATCCCCAAGTGGCCACAGCCAGAAAGAGGCCAGCACACAGGACCACGGTGGCGTCACACAGACGCTGTCACTTGGGTTAAGTACACAAGCACACCCCTCTCGGGCAGAAGACACCCTCGCACAGGCTCATCCACCTGTGGCTGGGGCGGAGGACAGACTCACACAGCTGTCCGTAGTTGGTGCTGTCCCGCATCCGCAGGTCCTCGGTGGATCGGTGCAGGCTGGTACCGGCGGCGGGGCTGCGGCTGGGGCTGCGATCTGGGAGGAGAAGCAGGGGCCACTGGACTGGACATCCTTGCTGGTTGGGCAGCTTGTTTATAACCAATTAAACGGAAGAGGACTGCAAGATAAGCCTTTTTCTCTCTCCCAGGAAGAAATTTCTTCTTAAAAATCATTTTATTGGGGGCTCGTACAACTCTTACCACAATCCATACATCCAGCCATTGTGTCAAGCACATTTGTACATTTGTTGCCATCATCATTCTCAAAACATTTTCTTTCTACTTGAGCCCTTGGTATCAGCTCCTCATTTCACCCCCACCCTCCCTGCCCCTGCCAAGAACCCTTGATAATTTATAAATTATTGTCATTTTGTCATGTCTTACACTGTCTGTTTTTTTAAAAAGTCTACCTTGATACACCAACATCCGTGATCCAAGGAGTGAAAAAGATATAATCCAAATCTGAAGGAGGGAATGGTGTCAGATCTTGAATTGTAAGATTCTGGTTTGCAGAAGGCAGCCCAAAACACAGTCACAGGATCTACACAGAGAATAAGCCTGCAGTGATTCTCATCTGACCACAAGCGAGGAGTGGGAATGGCCTGGCTCTCAGACAGTATTAGAGAGATGATTGTAGCAGATAAAAATGATCAATCTGACTTGAATAGCTAAACCCTTGTCCTTTGAGCTTCATCTGTTTCTTAATATTTTCTTTTCTCTCCCTCCAGATTGGGGTTTACCCATGTTGTATTTTGTTGTTGTTGGTACATTCTTGACCCTCTGTTATGGATCTTTCTATGTTTCTCAGTGTATGAATCCCAGGTGGGGTGAGTCTAGAGAGAGAATAGCTAAAATAAGGGTTCCTGGGGGGTACAGCAGGCGATGGAGGGGGTCTTGGGGAGCTGATATCAAGGAGTATGAGAAGGAAGGAAATATTTGAAAATGATTGTGGTAGCTATTGTATAAACTGCTTGATATGACTGAACTATTGGCTGGCATGATATCTGGATTATGTCCTAATAAAACGATCTGGGGGAAAAATACAAAAAAGAAAAGAAAAAAATGTTCTGCTTTGAACATGTCACTCTTTCAAACCTTTCAAGATCACATTTCTTTCTGCCTTGTTTTTAAGTGCTTTCAGTCATGGAAGACATTTCGAATGAGAGGAAAATGACTTTAAAATGAAATATGGATTTTAGTACAATCAGTGATACGCATATCTTCTGGGGTGGTCTCGGGTCCTGGGGTAGGTGGGAAGAGGCCTGGCTCCTCGGATTCATGCAGTTACACAGGCCACCACCACCAGATGGCGCCCACGATACAATGGGGAAGGCGCTCTCCATTAATTAAATCCTGGAGGCCGTGAAAAATGGGTCAGGAAAACCTTAGGGACGAAGGTGACAACAGCAACTCAGAGATGAGGGCGGTGCCTCAGGGAGGGGAGTTGATGCAAACGGGGGAGGAAAGACTCAGCAGAAGGGGGGCCGGAATGTCTGCACCAGCTGAAGCCTGTGGTCAGGGCCAGCGACTCACACACACAGAAACGTTGAAGTGGTGTGTGCTTTGCTGTGGATGTTCTCAACGATTATAACATCGAAATACAATTTGAAAAATCCAAGAGAAGAAAGGGCTTTGTGTGTTTGGGAAAAGCAATGTAACCGTCTAAATATGATCACAGGGGGAATGTGTGGACAGGG